AAGGTCTGTTTCTCTTCTATACGATTGTAATTACAGGGGAGGTGTTGGCCTAGTGGTATTATCGCTGGACTGTTAATCCAGAGACACAGATAATGTTCTGGGGATCTGGGTTTGAATCCCGCCATGGCAGATGGTGGAATTTGAATTCAATAAATATCTGGAATTAAGATTCTAATGACGATCATGAATCCATTGCCAATTGTTGGGAAAAACCCACTTGGTTCACTAAATAAAACGAAAAGAACTGCGGATGCTGTAAATCAGGAACAAAAACAAAGTTGCTGGAACAGCTCAGCAGGTCTGGCAGCATCTGTGAAGGAAAAAACAGAGTTAACCTTTCAGGTCTGGTGACTTTTCCTCAGAACCCGAAATGTTAGCTCTGTTTTTTCCTTCACAGATGCTGCCAGACCTGCTGAGCTTTTCCAGCAACTTTGTTTTTGCATCTGGCTCACTAATGTCCTTTAGGGAAGGAAACTGCCATCCTTACCTGGTCTGGCCTGCATGTGACTCCAGACCCACAACAATGTGATTAACTCTGAACTGCCCTCTGGGCAATTAGGGATAGGCAATAAATGCTGCCTAGCTAGCGATGTCCTCATCCCGTGCATAAATAAAAAAAAATTCAGCGTGAGGGGGATTCAGTGAGTGGGGAAATTCAGGGACAAGAGAATGCATGGGGGAAGGAGGCAGAGAGAAGGATGTGGGGAGGAAGATGATGAAAGTGGGTGATGTTGATAATATGGAGGACAAAAGAAGGAGGTGGCAGGAAGTGGAGAAGAGGATGAGAGGTGCTGGAAGTGACAATGTCGTTCAACGTTTTGTCTTTGTCTGACTGTCCTGAGCCTTCTCCTTTGTTTCTCGCCCTAAGCTATTTCTGCTCCCTTAGCTAATTACTTCCAGTTCTCCATCAGTAAACCTGGATATTAGAGCTTGGTGTGGAAGCTTCTTGTTGTGTCATGTTGGCTGGGGTGAGAGAATTCTCTAGAACGAAGGGTTTACCATTGATTTGTTACTGCTGGAACTCTCTTTGTTGGTGCTGGGAATTCAGACCAATGTGTGAAAGGTGGAGAGCAGCTTCTGTGAATGATGTGGGGACAGTGCTGTGTGCATACAGCAATGTACAAGGAGATTGGGGGAGAGCTAATTAACAAACACTGAGGCTTTGTCCAACTCCAAAGAGTTTGGGAACTCAAAGTCAGCTTTTGTTGTTCACACAGAAAGGAGCATTATTTACGAGACATTTCCATTTCCATTTGCCAACTCACTTCATCAGGCACCAGTTAGTGTCCAGGGATCAGGGAGTAGCCTCAAGCAGCTCAGTGGGTGTGAAACTCTCTGGTGAAGAGATAGCAGAGTGTCAGTGAGGTGGAGAGCTGAACTTGAATCGACAATGAGCTGGGACTTCCTCGTTCACCCTCACATTACAGTGAGTGCTCTTTCTGCCACTTTTGCTGCTGATTATGCTTGTCATTCAGATACAGGGGTTTTAGTCAATTATTTTTGTTTATCTTAAGCCGAGTTCAGAATGCAGCAAGCAGTGAGGAGTATGTTAGCTGATTCAGGGAACTGTCTGCTGAAATGGACACCAACAACTTCCTGTAAACACTTGCCCCAGAAATATTGCAGGCCAGGTACATAGCAGATGAAACAAGTTAAATAAAGGGAATTACAATGAAATGAGGATAAAGTTAGTTAAAGTGAACTGAGTGGATAGATTAGCAGGAATGACAGTAACTAAGCAGGTAGTTCATGACTCAGCAAAAATACATCCCAGTAAGGACGGATAAATATTAAGAGAGGGATAAACCAACCATGGTTAATCAAAGAACTTAAGGAGACTATTAAGTTGAAAGCAAAAGCATATGAGGAGGCGATAGTTAGTGATAGCCCCAAAGATGGGGATAAATTCAGAATCCAGCAAAGCAGGACCAAAATAATGATAAAAAGAGAGAAAATAAACCACGAGAGTAAATTAGCGAGGAATATAAAAACCAACTATAAGAGCTTCTTGCAATATGTAAAAGACAAGAGAGAGGTCAAAGTGTACATATACCCCTTAGAAAATGAATCTGGGGAGACAGTTTTGGGGAACAAGCAAACAGCAGAGGAGATATTTTGCATCAGTCTTTATAATGAAAGATACTTTGAACATCCCATTCATAGTAAAGTATACAGGGGAGGAATTAAGTAGCATCACCATCACTAGAAAAATAGTATTAGACAAACTCATGGGGCTAAAGGCAGAAAAATCCCCTGGGCCTGGGACCTGCCTCCACGGATCCTAAAAGGTATCTACAGAGATAGGGGGTGCATCAGCTCTAACTTCCCAAAAATCTTTGGATTCTGGAGAAGTGCCAGAAGATTGGAAAGCCGCTGATGTGACACCCTATTCAAAAAGGGAGGGAGGCAAAAAGTGAGTAACTATAGGCTGATTAGCTGAACATTCATTGTTAGAAAAATATTGAAATCAATTCTTGAGGAAATAATAGAAGAATATTTGGAAACTCATAATTTAATTGAGCAGGGTCAACATGGCTTCATGAAAGGGAAATCGTGTCTGACTAATTTATTAGAGTTTTTTGAGGAAGTCTCAACCAGAGTGGATAGAGGGGAGCCAGTAAATGTGTTGTCTATAGGTGTGAGGCTGGAAAAGCACAGCAGGTCAGACAGCAACAGGGGAGCAGGAAAGTCAACGTTTCAGGCTGAAACCCTTCAACAGTAGGTGTGTTGTATTTGGACAGAAGGTGTTCAACAAGGTACCTCACAGAAGGTTAAGTCATAAGGAAAGAGCCTACAGTGTTGGAGGCTGTATATTGGCATGGATAGAGAATTGGCTCATAGGCAGGAAACAGTGAGTGGGTTCTTTTCACATTGGTGACCTGTTACCAGTGTGGTTCTACAGGGATTGCAACTGTTTAAAAGTTTACAAGTTTATTATAATGTGAGAAAATGTGAAGTTGTTCATTTTAGAAGGAAGAACAAAAGAACACTATTATTTAAATGGGGAAAAGTTGCAGAAAGCTGCAGCACAAAGGGACTTGAGGAGACTTGTGCATGAAACACAGAAAGCAAGCACACATGGGCAGCAGGGAATCAGGAATGCTAGCGGAATGTTGGCCCTTATTTCAGGGGGGTTGGGGTATAAGAGTAGAGAAGTCTTTCTGCAGCTGTATAAGGTGCTGGCGAAATCACATCTGCAATATTGTGGAAAAAAAACAAAGAACTGCGGATGCTGGAAATCAGAAACAATAACAGGAATTGCTGGAAACAACTCAGCAGGTCTGGCAGCATCCGCGGAGAGAAAGCAGATTTAACTCTAGAGTACTGTGAGCAGTTTTGGCCCCCCTATTTCAGGAAAGATATTATTTCATTGGAGACAGATCAGAGAAGGTTCACTAGGATGATCCCTGGTATGGAGGGATTGTCTTATGAACAAAGGTTAAACAGGTTGTAGACTTGCTCACCGAACTGATGTGTTTCATTGCAGACATTTTGTCACCCTTGCTCGGTAACATCATCAGTGCGCCTCAGGTGAAGCATTGGTGTTCTGTCTCACTCGTTATTTATTTGCCTCAGTTTGCTGGGGTGGTTGGCACCACTTTCGGTTGCGTTTTTCATTGGTCTGTAATTCGGGTCCAGTTCAGTGTGTTTGTTGATGGAGTTCCGGTTGGAATGCCAGGCCTCCAGGAACTCCCTGGCATGTCTCTGTTTGGCTTGTGCTATTATGGATGTGATGTCCCAGTCGAACTTGTGTCCTGTGTCCATGTGTACTGAGACCAGGGAGAATTGGTTGTGTCTCTTGGTA